ACATATTGTATATACAGGGTGTTTTTAAAAGGTTTTTGAAAAAGTGTTTTTTACAGGGTGTTTTTACCTTGCTATTTAAAAAAGATAAGTTGGTGGCAGAGGGGAAAGGGGGGGAATGTTAATGTAACGTTGAATTCTAAACAATTGGGCCCCCTACGTAAAAAGATGATTCCCGCAAACTGCATATTTCTATCTATTGCAGTTTTTACATAAATAAAGATTCAAGTTTAAGAAAAAACACCCTGTACATACATATATACCTAAATAAATCAAAGGATTTTTTTGCAGGCTGCCATTGTTGGATTTCGGACGCGGAAAGTACTCTTTATTGGCGTAAAAAACAAGTACTGCACAACTTGTGCTCGAGCTGATACAAGAGGGGAGCCAGCAAAAGAACACACATGCTATAAAAACTGGAGCATGAAGCAAAGCTCAACCAGTATGGAGTCAGCTCTAGTATGCGAGGGGTTCAAAAAGAGTGAGGAAATGTACAATGTACGGTATGCAAGACTTATTGCCGATGGGGACTCCAGCGTATATAAGAAAATAATTGATTCTCGGCCCTACAAAAACTGCACTGTTCAGAAGATAGAATGCAAGAACCATCTTTTGAGAAATATGTGCACTAGACTCAAAACGATTGCAGCCTATAAAACCTGCAAACCTTCCGTTTGGCTCAGAAAGAAAATTTGTGACAACTTGTTACGCTGCAGAATGGCAGTAACTAAAGCCACTGAGCACCATAAAAAGGAAAGGAATGATGCAATCAATGAAGGGGAATCAAGTAAAGCAATAGAAAATCTCAGAATGGATATATTGAATATTCCAAGTCACGTGTTCGGGGAACACAAAAAATGTGCTGAGAGGGGGTATTTTTGCGAGCTGGACCCTACTACTGCCCGGCCAGATGACAATTTAGTACCTAATCTTGTCACAGTGGGCCTTTAGCCATTGATCACTGATGTGTTCAGAGATGTCCCCCCCCCCCCCGCAACAGCCGCAGCTTACTTGCTGACGTCACTAGCAACTATGTAGAACATTTCAATTCAATTGTTGCCAAATTTATTGGCGGCAAAAGATTAAACTTTGCTGTAGTGGTTCATATCAGACTAGATGTACAGCTGCTGTCATTCAACACAACTCCGGACTAGCACGCTACAAGCTGCACAAACAAATGTACGGTGCTAGTCCAGGGGTATTCGCAAAAAGTGTGGCAATGAGGAGGAAGAAGAAGGTGGACAGCCAAAGACAAAGAAAAAGGTGCAGGAAAACACTATTTGATCGGGAAAAAATTGCTGATGGAAAAGACTACGGTATTGAAGCACAACGGCCCGATATTGACGAAAAACTATGGAAAAAGAAAAAAAGTGATTTTTTAGCAACCTTACACAAGTCAGAAGCAGAATTCAAAAGAATTGAAAGAGAAACTGTGGAACAAAGCGATTCAAATGAGTGGCTAGAGATTCGCCGAAATCTTTTGAGAGCTTCGAACTTCGGGCGTGTTTGCAATATGAGAGCAACAACGGGTTATGAAAAAATCGTAAAACAAATCTTGTACACCGTTTTTGATTGTGAGGCCATGGCCTATGGTATGAAAAATGAAGAAGTGGCTCGACATGAACTCGAAAACATGTTAGGTCAAAAGATAAGTAAATGCGGCCTTTTCATAGACCGCGACAACCCCTATCTCGGTGCAAGTCCTGATGGCCTTCTGAATGAAGATGGAACTGTTGAAATTAAATGTCCATCTTCTGCTAAAGATATGACACCTGACGAGGCTATCAGAAAGCGGAAATGTACCTTATGGGCAGTCACTAAGGATGGGAAAATTGGTGATATAAAAAAAACACCACTTTTATTATCAAGTTCAAGGCCAACTTCAAGTCACAAAGAGAAGAATGTGTGTATTTTGCATATGGAGACCACAGAGAATAAAAACTGAAGTAATAGAGCGGAATGAACAGTTTTGGCAGGAAGAAATGTTGCCAAAACTAAAAAGATTCTACATGAATTGCATACTACACGAAATCATCGACCCTCGGCATTCCTGGTCTATGCCCATAAGGAATCCTTCGTATATAGTAGAGGCTCAGACAAAATCTAAAGAAAAGAAGGCAGAAAAAACAGAGTAAACTTGTAAAACTATGAAAATGGTTGGTAAAAATGTTGCATTTATTGTAAAAAGCTGGAATTGTTGTACTGTAAATGTTTAAAATTACTATTTCAAAATAAACGTTTTAATGTTTTCTCCACTATAGTCTTATACCTTAATTTACAAACCTTATAACCACAAAATATCAAACTTTTCAGGAGAAGGAAAAACTGTTTTATACTTTTCCTGTTATATACAGTATACAGTGTTGGGAATTTAAAATAATATTGATCACCATTTAATTTGATGCTATGAAGTAAATTGCATATTAGCATGAACATCAGAACATAAATGTTTAAATTTAAATCAGTTTTGATTCACCAAAATAATATAGGTAGTAATAATAATAGTAATAATCAACAGCTTTTATGGTAAAATACCATATATATTATTAATGTTTACATAACAAAATAAGTGTAGCATTGTAGGTTGAGTATAAGTATGTTTGTGTAAAAAGACGACAGGTTAATTCAACCCTCAGTCAGTATAGACCATTTAGAAAGGTAGGCACTGCCACTGCCCGTTTGTCAGCACAGCTACTGTATATCCATAGAAGTTTTGATCAATACTGCTCAAGGTCAGACGCTAGCCGTGCGGGTTGCAGAACATACAATTGCAGGAGTAGCAGATTGACGATTTAGAACTTGACACCTGCCGCCTCTTAAATGGTTGTTTTTACTTCTCGTTAGTGATAAACTCTGTGATATTAGTTTAAGACCAATAATTAAATAATTTAAAATGCATTTTTTTTTCGTAGACTTCAAAGTATACTTTGTAACTTAAACTTCTCAATTTGACAACTGCTCTGCATGAAAAATGTTTGACTCTTCCAATACTCTTGTAACTATGTCTACTGGAAATAGACATGTCTTATGTCTTAATGTATTTCAGTGACCTAAGACACCTTGTATAGCTGTGCACCATGTGTATCTCTGTATATCTCCACCATGGTGATATACACAGAAGTATGTGTACCATGGGTCAATAAAAGATATGAGACAATACAGGGTGTTCATTTGAAAACTTTCCATATCTGTTGTGTGCAAAGGTAAGGCTTTTAACACTTGTTTGTTCTCATTTCCCCCTAATTTGGACATGCAAATCCAATAAAATTATTTTCAATTTCGAAAAATGTCCCAAAAGGGCCCAATTTGGGGGGTAGTGGTGCTTTTTGAGAAATTTTCAAATGTAAACATGGGTTGTGTGATACATCAATTCAAAGTTCTAATCATCCCGACTATTTTGGTGCAATAAAAATGTAATTATCTTTAACCGTATTTACAGGGTGGGTCAAAACGTTTTAAAAAAGGACTTTGAGGTTAAGTACCGTATTACACTAACTACTGAACGTAACAGCGCCAAATTTATTTCCAAGCTTATTCTTGATCTACTCTTTAAGATAACTTGTAATAAGGGCATTTTCCATGTTATTTTCTAATTTTTAAGAAATCTAAAATTTGAAGAATAAAAGAAAGGTGAAAACTCAAAATTCTTAAATAGCAAGGTATAACAAATTTCATACCATGTGAAAGGTCCTTTTTTTAAAAATATTTTACGTATTTAAGTTTTCTTTCTATCTCTTACCGTTTAAAAATTGCAGTAGAAAAACTGAATTTTCTATGGTAAAATTATAACTAGTTTTCTAACAAAACACATTGCACTTTGCTCAACGATGTATTATGATTAATTACAAATTGATCAACTACTTTTACTTGTGTCAGTTCATCTTGGACCCTTCATCCTGTTCTTTTCTCATTGGTAACTGAGCCAGTTTCAGAAATTTCTTAAAACTAAATCATTTACAGCTTTATGACTTAAGGTCTTACCTGGATATTTATTGTTAAACACTTTGCAGTTATCCTGAAACACTTTTGTTCTGCCCAATAAGTAAAAATAAAGTCTATTTTTTTAAGTGTAGACCATATTCGATTAGATACTACAGAAAATAGTACTTTTTGAAATGAGTACTACCATTGACTAGTCAATGGTACTACAGAAAGCGGCCCACATGTAGGTTGTCCTCATCAGCTATAAGACTTGTTTTTCACAAATTAAAACGTAATGACTTGTTTGTCAATCAGGGTATCAATAATTATGAATTGTTTCCTTCAGTTAATGCACCATTAAATGTGTCTAGAGACAAATTTTGGCTGTTTTATTAGAAAACTAGTTACAATATTACTATGGAAAATTCAGTTTTTCTACTGCAATTTTTAAACGGTAAGAGATAGAAAGAAAACTTAAATACGTAAAATGTTTGTTAAAAATGGACCTTTCACGTGGTATGAAATTTGTTATACCTTGCTATTTAAGAATTTTGAGTTTTCAGCTTTCTTTTATTCTTAAAATTTTAGATTTCTTAAAAATTAGAGGATAACATGGAAAATGCCCTTATTACAAGTTATCTTAAAGAGTAGATCAAGAATAAGCTTGGAAATAAATTTGGCGCTGTTACGTTCAGTAGTTCGGGTAATACGGTACTTAACTTTTAAAAAAAGTCCTTTTTTAAAACGTTTTGACCCACCCTGTAAATACGGTTAAAGATAATTACATTTTTATTGCACCAAAATAGACGGGGTGATTATACCTTTAAATTGATGTATCACACAACCCATGTTTACATTTGAAAATTTCTCAAAAAGCACCCCTACCCCCCAAATTGGGCCCTTTTGGGGAATTTTTCGAAATTGAAAATAATTTTATTGGATTTGGCATGTCCAAATTAGGGGGAAATGAGAACAAACAAGTGTAAAAAGCCTCACCTTTGCACACAACAGATATGGAAAGTTTTCAAATGAACACCTTGTATAGTATAATATGAGACAAGAGTCGTCTATAACAGACTCACCAGTGTTTTTGCTGGCGTAGCAACACAGATAGAAGTCTGATACCAGCTGAGCTTGAACTCCATATTTTTGTTGAAACAACTCATCCATTGCAGAAGTTAGTTGCAGCATGTAGTCGGCCTGTACGCAGTTCTCACCTCCTGGACATTGCAATAGTTAATAAATGGTATCAGCAATCTGAAACATACTTTCTACCGACAACCCTTATAATGAATATTATGATGGGAGAAAATAACATATTTTATAGGTAAAATCACAAAAGTTGTAGTAACTTTTGGGCCGTAATTTTTACAACGGGGGTGGTTTGGTTTGTTTTAGAGTTAAAAGGACATAGCTTACTAAATTTGAATCACAATTGATTAGGCCGTTTAAATGTAAACCTGACATTAACGTGTTTATATGAGTTTTTATGGTAAAAATCCTGTTAAAAGAAATATCTAAAAAGATTTAAAATGCCTGGAGTTACCATGGATTAGTACCCACACACCCTAATTACATCAAAATAGGACCACAGGTGTGATCTAGTAGCCCTTGTTAACATCCACAACATTATCAATACAAACTTTTTGGGTTTAGGGGGACTCAAAACAGATATATCTAAAATGTGAACATTTTGACAAAAACAATTTGGTTGGGTGAAAGTAAAAATAAAAAATTTCAACCATTAACAGACAACTTTGTCTATTAACCGTTAACTGAATTGCAACAACTTTGTGGCTTCAGCATGGGAAACATCTTGGGATAGATTAATAGGCAAAATCTTGATCTCCAGTTTTACAAAAATAGTAGGTAGAATGCAGTTACCCTGTAGGGAATGGGTATTTTATCCTCTGATTTCTCCAGACAGATTCATAAATGGGGTGGAGTAGCAATTTATATCAAAGAAACGATGAAACACAAGCAAATTCATGAAATAAATATTCAGGATTTCACCGAAGAATTAACAGTTGAAATTGTAGCAATCAAATTAGTAAAAGAACAAACTATTATTATAGGAGGATACAGATCACCTAGTGGCAATTTAAATACATTTTTTAATAGATTTTCCGATTTTTTATCAAACTTCACGCACAAGAACAAAAAAGTTATATTTATGGGAGATCTAAACATTGACTACCTCAAAAAAACAAACCCTGACACAATTGAATTCTTAAATATACTAACGGAACATAACCTGAAACCTATTGAGGTTGAACCTACCAGAATAACGTCCACGTCTGAGACATGTATTGATTGGTGCTGAACAAATATTAACCTATCAAAACTTAAAGTATCATCTATTTGGAACTCAATTTCTGACCATCAGGCTTTAAAGTGTATAGTGGGAGCAGTTAAAATGAAAACTAACCCCCCCCCCCCCATCAAAAGACTTACCAGAAAAATAACAACTACAAAATTAGATGAGCTAAAAGTATCACTTGGAAATCAAGACTGGTCATACATATATACAACTCCGGATGTGAATAAAAAATATAACTACCTAGTGAAAACTATCCAAAGAAAATGTAAGGGTTCATAAAATTTGTGAATATTTATAATACAACTAAACCCTTACTAGCAGAATCGCCCTGCCAATTCGCCGAAGTTAAGTTCCAAAAATGTAAACAAAACAAATTAGCAGATGACACAAGTTCAGCAACAGCTGATCTTGTGGTTCACCGCCGTACCACCGGGCCGCGCATCAGTCGCCCGCGCCTGCGCAGGGACCCCAGCCACAGCGCTGGATGTGCGCGGCACTCGCCGAGACAGTGTGTCGGAGTCGGCAAGAGTCGACAGTCAGCAGGAGCAGTGGCCTGAGCAATTAGGCAGAAGAAGGACGCCCGACCCTACACTCTCGCTCACGCCAAGTAAGTGGCCGACATTCGCCGTTGTTGTACCTAGGGCGCCTAGGATAACTCGACCTCACTCGCTATGGCTTTTATTACGCCTATCGTTTATTCACTGTTAATCAATTATGCTATTTAAGTCAAACGTCCGCGGGAAGTTTAGTCTTAAATTTAATTGAATAATTAACAGAGATTGCTTTATTTAAACTTGTGATTATTCCTATCGTTCTATTACAACATAGAGTGTTATCTGCCTTGTTAAAATAGCTTTGTAAATATATAACGATCAGCTATGCTTTTTTTGGAATATCTGAATTTTGTTCGATACATAACTTATAGACCGTGAGTTCAAAGAAGTAACGGTCAGAACGAGATCCGCCCGGTTATAATTCCTTTCTGTTTTAATTGTGTTGTTTTATTTGTATTGTTTAAATATATTCAAGTTCAATCGGTTCCGGTCATGCAAGGTGGCTTTTTAATATTTGTGTGTTTTGTTTGTTTTGTTTATCGCATAGGTCCGTGAGAACACGGTGTGGCTTTTCATATTCGTGTGTTTTTGTTTGTTTTGTTTATCGCGTAGTGCTACGGGGTTTTTGTTGTATTTAAATTTAATTAAAATTTGGATATAATTATTTGGGTTCCAATAAGTTAAGTTAAGCTACCTCGTTTTTGATTTTATACTTAGGGTCTATATTATTGCTGTACGGTAACCAGGAAAAATAAAAACTGAAAATTGAGAACAACAATGGACCTTTATTTAAATGTAATGATTTAAAAACTACTTACAGAATTCAAAAGCAAGCACAAGTTAAGATATTGATAAATCCAAAACGATAAGTAAGTTGGATATTGAGATTGTTTACGAATTTTAAATAATTAGACAAACCTACCTATATGATTTTAAATTATTGATATGTAATATTTGTGGCTTGAATAAATTAAATTAAATTAGATTAAATCTGGCCTGTTTGAGTGGTGATCTGAAGTTTTCATCGTTGACTACGGTTCCGCAGCTGAGCTGTAACTAGACGACAGTCTCCCACTGTAGACGATACGGTGATATCAGAAAGAATAGTTCGATTTCCACAAGACGTTTCTTTGATGCCGAGCCGACTCAGTCTTTGCGTAAATAGTAGAGGTTGAAAATACCCAACGTCGGTCTGAGGATAGATATACGCAGCTAAATCATCAAATCCACCCTCACAATAGACGGGAAATGTCGATGTACACTCACATGTACAACAGCACTATCGTATATTGTCGCTAACAACGTTAACATCACACAAATCGGATTCACAACACAGAAGAATAATATATAATGTGTAGGCGTCTCGAATTGGAAACACATTCACTTCGTCCACTGCAGCACGACAGTACTAATCACCCATACATCGGAGCCAAACAATAATACGTCCATTCATCTACGGTGGTATACCTCAACTGACCGGCCTTGTGCCTGCTCAACGCTTACCTGCTACACCTAACCCCTATGATTCGAGCTCTCCTATTGGCTAACGAACTCACCCTCGGCTCCCGAACCTCCCCGAAGATATACGAGACGGTTTTTCGTCATCGCATTGGCACCATCTCCACAAGCCTGTCCCAACAGGAAACTTGTAGATATTCCTAGACTACATTTTGTCACGTAGGCCAAGTAAATTAATCGAATTATTTTTTATATTAAATATTATCAAATTACTGTAGCAGCAATTCAGCTGTGAGATATTTGATTTATGGGAGTAAGAGTAAATAGTTGATTTATTAGAGTGATTTTAATACATTGTTGGCTCTTTACTAACTAACACGCTTTCATTTGTTTGTACATACTTCAGAACTGTACTAACCATTGTAGCTATTCATTGTTATTTATACTAGAACCAGTGCACAACAGTGCAATCGACCGGCGTGGCCCAAGCTGTGCCTGGCTCGGCACTCGCTAAAAAGTCGCGGCCCAAAAAGCCCAGGACTGAGGCAATTTTGGTCAAGCCTTTGGAGGGAAGATCATTCGCCGAAGTCTTGGGTGTTATCAAGGCCAAGGCTAAGCCAGAGCAAACCGACACGGTTGTACGGTCGATTAGACAAACCCGGGACGGGGACGTCCTCCTCGAACTGGGTAAGTCTAAAGATAAAGCCGCCTTTGCTGCCGAACTAAAGGCAGCTGTGGAAGGTCAGGGCACCGTTCGTGCTCTCGAACCCAAGACGTCCGTCGAGGTTCGGGATATGGATTGTGTGTCAACGGAGGATGACGTCATTGATGCCCTAAAAAAAGCTGTCCCCGAGCTTGCCGGACAAACGGCTAGTCTGAGGGTGTGGCTCACGAAACCAAACCGGAGTCAACAGCGGATGGCGGTCGCCGAAATGGCAGACGCAAACGCCAGTAAGGTTTTGGCACTCCAGCATTTGAGGGTTGGATGGGTTAATTGCAGGTTGAGACGGAGGGTGGAAGTAACGAGGTGTTTTAAATGCCTTGATTTCGGCCATTCCTCCCGAAACTGCGAAGGGCCCGACCGAGGCAAGAACTGCCTTCGATGCGGGGAGGTGGGTCACACTCGTAGGGACTGTAAAGTTGAGACCTGTTTCCTCTGTAAGGAGAAAGGCCTCAATGATAAAAACGCTAAACATATAGCTGGGTCTGGGCAGTGCAGTGCATTTAAAGGCGCACTACAACAAGCGAAAGCCCAACCACGAAGATAAGGATCCTCCAGTGCAATGTAGATCGATCCAGGACGGCTGACGCGCTTCTCAGTCAGCTTGCCCTCGAACACGGTGTTGACGCGCTCTTGGTCAGCGAACAGTACCAGTACCGGGACAGGGACCCATCTCTTTGGTTTCCCGATACACTTGGTACTGCTGCGTTCTGGGTTCGTAATACAGCTAAAGTGCAGGTAAGGAGTCACGCGAAGGGCCGAGGATTCGTTTGGGTCCGGTGCGGGGATGTCACTTACTTTAGTGTATACCTCACCCCCAACGAGGCTATCCGTGACTTTCGTGGAAAGATAGACCGCCTGGAAGAGAGCGTGCGCGATACCGCCGGGCACGTTGTCGTGGCGGGGGATTTCAATGCTAGGGCTGTCGAGTGGGGAATGACTCTCACTAATTCCCGGGGGAAGTACATCCTGGACTTTGCTGCCAGGGCTGGACTTGTTGTCATAAACGAGGGCAACACGCCAACTTTCCAGCGTCCCGGAATGAGGGGAACGATCCCAGACATCACGCTTGCATCTGAGTCCCTCTTGCCGAGGATACGAGCCTGGAGAGTCCTAGAGGATTATACGGCCAGTGACCACCAGTACATCATTTTTGATGTCATGGATAGTCATCAGAGACAAGCTACCGTGTCTCGGCAGGTGCCCGTTCGGTGGAACACCAAAAAGCTGGACGTGGCCAAATTCACCGAAGTCATACTACGGGGAGAGCCAGTGGTACCTGCTGCATCCGGCGTGGCTCACGCAGAGACATCAGTTACATCATTGATGAGGCTGATAGTCTCGGCCTGCGAAGAGTCAATGCCTCGCAGGATATCCCGGTGCGATAAGCGACCTGTGTACTGGTGGACAACCGAGATCGCAGAACTACGACGGGCAGCATTGAGAGCCAGACGTCTTGCTACCAGGGCTAGAGAACCTGAAGATAGACGTCTTAAGTCTGACGCTTACAAGGTGGCAAGGAAGTCTCTTCGCCGGGCCATTAACCGGAGCAAACGCAGTTGCTGGGAGAAATTAAGGGACGATGTCGATTCCGATCCGTGGGGCCTTGGTTACAAGATAGTAACCAAGAAGCTTGGCACCCGCTCTCCACCTTCCGTTATGGACGGGGCCTCTATGGAGAGGATCGTAAAGTCCCTTTTCCCGACTCACACACTGCGTCCATTGCGGGAGTTCGGAAGGGTGGACGACGTACCGCTTTTCAGTCTCGAGGAGTTGGAGGCGGCCGTTCTGTCCCTGAAGAACAACAAGGCTCCTGGACCGGATGGGGTACCTGGTGAGGCCCTGAAGAAAGTCTTTTCAATAAACCCACAAATCCTTTTGAGCACGTACAATGCCTGTCTGGCCGAGGGGAAGTTTCCCTTCTGCTGGAAAACAGCTAGGCTTGTGCTCGTGGGGAAGGGAAAAGGAAACCCAGACCTACCCTCCTCTTACAGACCTCTCTGTATGTTGGACACTGCTGGGAAAGTCTTGGAAAAGTTGATCCGTTCCCGACTGAATTCAGCCGTGGTTGCTGCAGGGAATCTATCCCCTCGTCAGTACGGTTTCAGGAAGGGACGGTCAACGGTTGACGCTATTGAGGAGGTAAAGCGAGCCGTAATGAGAGCTGAGGAGTTTAACAACTATTCTCGTCGGGTTGTGCTGCTTGTAACACTTGATGTGCGAAACGCATTTAATTCCGCGAGGTGGTGCGATATGCTCGACGCACTGGAGAACACTTTCCACGTCCCGGCATACCTCATGCGCATGATAGAGGACTACCTCCGGTACCGCCTCATCATTTACGACACTACAGAAGGCTCCAGGACGATGGATGTAACTTCTGGTGCTGCTCAAGGATCCATACTGGGCCCGGACCTCTGGAACGTCGCCTACGACAGCCTCTTGAGATCCGAGATGCCTGAGGAAACCGTCCTAGTTGGGTATGCAGATGACGTTGCGGCTTTAATAGCTGCACGTAGCATTGAGCTTGCCCAGCTGAAACTAAATCGAGTCATGCGAACCATTAACGCATGGATGGCAGAACATGGTCTCTCGCTCGCTCTGAGCAAAACTGAGATTGTCATTCTGACTAAAAAGAGGATTGACACCATCGTGCCTTTGATGGTGGGGAACGTTGAAGTCCAAACCACTCGTGCCGCAAAGTACCTTGGGGTCATGGTGGACAGCAAGCTCAGCTGGCGAGACCAGATCACCCGTACGGCGGACAAGGCCGCTAAAATGGTTTCTTCCCTTAGTCGGTTAATGGCCAATGTCGGAGGTCCACGGTCCAGCCGCAGAAGGCTGTTGATGTCTGCGGTCCAGTCAGTGCTCCTGTACGGTGCGGAGGTCTGGGCAGACGCTCTCAATAAGGAGGTATATAGGATGCGGCTCGCCCGAGTGCAGCGTCAGGCAGCACTAAGGGTAGCATCTGCCTATCGAACAGTGTCCGAACCCGCCGTCCTGGTGGTTGCTGGAGTCATCCCCGTCAAACTTTTGGCGGCGGAGAGGAAGGCAATTTATCAGCGCCGTGGGGAGGACCAGGCAAGTATTGAGGAACGCACCCGGACCTTCCAGCTGTGGCAGGAGAGCTGGGAACAGGAGACAAGGGGGCTCTGGACCAGGCGACTGATACAACAGGTCCAACCTTGGGTTAATCGGCGGTGCGGAGAGGTGAACTTCTACCTCACCCAATTTCTGACGGGTCACGGCTTTTTCCGGTCGTACTTGTTCAGGATGGGCAAAGCCGTGTCACCCGATTGCATATACTGCCCAGGCATTCCCGATGACGTGGAACACACTTTCTTCCACTGCCAGCATTGGGAAAGGCCCCGCCTAGAGGCTCAACAGTTCGTAGGACTGCTGTCGGTGGACACGGTCATACCGATGATGATGGAGGGTGAGGACAATTGGACCTGTGTGTCACTTTACATCCAGGGTGTTCTCCGCGCCAAGAAGCTTGACCTCGACCGGGATGCGGTGTAGGTCAAAAAATAAATAATGCCAGAAACGGTGCGAGCCCTGTGGGCTTAGGTCACATGTTGGCCTGACTTGAAGTAATGTGACAAACAATTCCAGGTCTGTGTCCAACAGAGTAGAGGGGGTTTTTTAGTGAGTAGTCTGTGATAAACTCAGGAGTCTCACACTACAGGCTGGCTACCTGTGTGCGTAAAAGCATTTTCCCTCCTCACCCTAAAAAAAAAAAAAAAAAAAAAAAAAAGTGCACAATAGTTATGTTCTATGTCGTTGCTTAGCCGCTATTAACTGTTAATGTTTTAGGTAGTTGTTTTAGCCTTCTACTAATTATTGATGTGTTGAACAATGCATTTAAATATTCTACCTTACGATACGATTCCACTACTAACACACTAACCATCGACATTGCTTCAAATCTTAGCATAACGCTTAACCTTTGCTTAACCTTAGACTATCAATGCTTAACTAAGATGCTTTGGGAAAACTGATTGGCTTTGGGAATTTTAATTAGCCGTGACATTAGACAGCTAAGCCCCAACTTCTATTTCCATTCTTCACCATTTCCTTGATTCCTGGACTGTTGCTAATTGAGTGATCTCCGATCTGTGTGTTGTATGTGTTGTGTGTGTGCAGCTAACTGCTTTGGTTAGCTGTAGTTTGCTAAGTAGCTTTTCTTCTTTCTCTATTACTTCGGGCACACCGGAAATAAGTTAGATTTAATTAGCACTTAAGCTCTTAGCTATAAGTCTTCTACTCTGTCACTTTATGACTATGAATGTGCTTGCCACAAACTTTTCTTTCTTCTTTCGCTATTACTTCGGGCACACCGGAAATAAGTTCGTTATAAGTTAGCTTTAACCTATTCCGGAAAACCCGGAAATAAGTTAGCTATTAAATAGATTTAATCTATTCCGGAAAACCCTGAAATAAGTTATTTATAGGTTAGGTTTAATTACTTCGGGCACACCGGAAATAAGTTAGTATTAGTTAGACCTAAGCTATCCCGGAAAATCTGGGAATAAGTTAGGTTTTAGTTAGGCTTAATCTATTTTAAATAAGTCTTTGTGTGCTCAAACTGTCTGTGTGTGTGTGTGTCTCGTTCTCGTATCTTACTCTTCCTGTTAACGATCCTTCTCCACCCTACTCTGTATGTTCGTTTGCACCTTTTCATATTCCTACTCTCTCACGGGGCTTTAAACTAGTCCACTCGCCCGAAATGCATTGTATTATTTTAAATAAGAAAGACACATCTAAACTAATTCTGCTCGGTCCGTGGCGCATGGACGTCGGGTAATAAATTAAATAAAGAATTAATACTCCACCGACGAGGCTGTGAACAGCGTCGCGCACGAAGCTATAACTTCGAAACAAAATCTCGCCCTCCCTCTTTTATTCACTCGTTTCCTGGCGATGATGAGGCACGAATAAAGCCAAGAGGCAAAACATTCCCGCCTGAGCCAGGAAAACGACTTTAGGAGACAAAAGCGGGAAACCCGACCAAAATTGACCCCCGGAGTAACCCAGCTCGGCTAGGTTATCAGGGACGCGTAACGCTCCGACCCAACAAATTAACGAAACACACCCGGAAGCGGGTTACAAAAAATAGAAGAAATCATGCCCAAAACCTACAGAGCCTATAATAACAAAAATAATAAAAAAAATTTGTGGAATGACAAGCTTGTAAAATTATGTATGCGGGATCAAAATTTTATAATAATCTCCCAATCGAAATTAAATCAGAGACTTCCAAAACAATATTTAAAAATAAATTAAAAAGATTTCTCATCAGCAAGGCTATTTTTTCTTTTGAAGAGTTGAATAGTCTTTGAGGTCAAAATAAAATTCAATATATGTATTTTTTTGTTATTTAAAAAAATTTAAGTTTGTGAAATTTTGTTTTTATTTTATTATGTTAGAAATGTATTTAATAACTATTAGGCCTACTTGAACTGTTGACACTATTCAATGTATTATGTACAAGAAACGAATAAAGTAGTTTTGAATTGAATTGAATTGAATCGTCGTCGTCCGCGATCGTGACAAAATCATGAACATTTTCCGCAGCCGAGCAGATATCATCGTCATCTCCCACGGTCACGGAAACTTCATCGTCATCTCCCGCGGTCACGGAAATGTCATCGTTGTCGTCCGCGATCGCGACAAAATCATGAACATTTCCCGCGGCCGTGTAGACATCATCGTCGTCTCCCGCGGCCGTGTAGACATCATCGTCGTCTCCCGCGGTCACGGAAACGTCATCGTCATCTCCCGCGGTCACGGAAAGGTCGTCGTTGTCTCCCGTGGTTTCGAAAACGTCATCGTCGTCGTCCACTATCGCGGCAAAATCGTGAACATTTCCCGAGGCTGTGAGGACAATCATCATTGGCTTTCGCGGTTACGTGGAAGACGACGATCGCGGCAAAATCATAAAAATTCCCGACTGAAATCAAATTTAAGACTAAATCCTGACTTTTCAAGACCATTTTGAAATTGAATACTAATTCCCGACTTTCCCGACTACTAGACACCCTGACTAACTTAGTTCTTTTGACTCACCAATGACGACGCAGTCGTTTTTATTGAACTGTAAATACTTCTCCAGATCAGACTGGGGAAGTCCCCACACTTTCGGCAGTAAAGATTTGGGGAATTGTGGTAGTGGCCCTGTAAACATTTTGTAAATATTGATAAACACACAGATAGTTTATTTTAAGAGTGTGACATAGAGCAAAAGGGCCTAGATTTTTAGGATTTTACAGGATAGCATTTTGCAAATTTTATATATTACACTACAGCATAGCATGCTACGGAGTTTTGTTCCTTGTTGTAGTAAATTATTATTGAACAACTATAATTTTTTGTAAAACATTTCTAAATGATAGTTATATTTATTCATGTATGAAATTGACTTTACCTACTCATGCAGAGTTTATATGTTTTATGAATATATAAAAAAATGTGTTTAAGCTGTGCTAGTGTTTTATATCAAATCTTGTAGCCTACCAATAATGATGATTCCAGTATTAAGCACTGTGTGAAGTTTCTGCAAAATTTTAAAAAAGTTGCACAAAAAACTTGGTATTATGTTATAAAATACTTAGGGCGGGTTTCTGAATCAGGGATTTATAAGTCCAGAACTAGGCTAGTCATGGATTAAAATTAGTCATGTACTAAAAATTCACTTTCTGAGTCAAGGATTAAGGATACACGGACTAATTTAACGCGGGTACTTAGTTTAGTCATGGATTAAAAGAGCTCATGATTTTCAAGGGAAATGTAGGGTAATTTGTGCCGCCGTGCTGGCAACACTGTCAGTTTGATGTGCACACTGCTCTGAAATAGTAAACTAAACAAACAACGATCTCAGTCAAACCTCAAACCTTGGTTTTGAGGTTATTTCTCTTTTAATTCATTTATCATTGTAATATATTTTATTATTGCTGTAAACTAGTTGTATCATAAAATTTTAAAGGTAGGACTGGTGTTTCATCCTATTTCTTTTAAATAAGTTAATTGTATAAATAATTTAAATGTATACTAGGTCAGCCCTATAATTATAGATCTGGATTACTTTCTGATGAGTGATTTAAGACAAGGAAATTATAAAGTGGTGTATGAACAAAATAAACATATTTTAAGAAACTCAATACTAAATTATGAATGTATGAAATGAAATATTACAACCTTTAGGAGAAAAAGGTCTCTGGATCATGTCTGCACAAGATAAAACCCTAAACTATTTACAACTCTATTTAGTATTTTATTTTATTTTATTTTATTTTATTCTCTTAAACTATTTTATTATCTCACAGAGTTTTTTGAAAATATATACCTATCCTTGAATTCATCCTCACTTAAGTCATCAAATGGATTGTTTTCCCGCTCACGACGAATTCGCGGCCCACGAAAACGGTAAAAATCATGATAATCAATGTATTCCATAATCACCTTCAATTTTAACACACAAAAAAAGTGGACGACTAAAATTAATCCTACCCCTGTGCAGGATTAAAATCTAGCATGTTTTAATCCGTGGACTAAAGCATAATTTCTTTAGTTCAGACTTAAAAACTAGTTCTTGACTAAGATTAGTCGCTGACTTATAAGTACTCGAATCAGAAAGATATTTTTCTTAGTCCAGTACTAAAACGAGCTTTAGTCTAAGACTAGCGCTAATACCTGAATCAGAAACCCGCCCTTAAAGTCTTAAAAGTCTTAGTCTTACATAAGCAACCTGGAAACAAAATGAGTTTTCAATCAACAACAAACAACAAACAGTTGATTAAAACATTTACATCTGATACTGGAAAAACAATCTTACCAAATAATAACAATTCAGGTTGGAATTTTATACGTTTTCAATATTTTTTTTACAGCTAATAAAATGAACACTTGTTTGTCTGAGGATTTCGTAACAAGGTATTTCTAGCTCTAGCTACCTATCTGATCTATCTGCTAGATAGTCATAGCTAGATCTATCTGGCAAATGAGAGAACCGTTATTCACTTACGTTCTTTTACTTGTACTAGAGGAACATAATGATTGCGGGCTGAGCTGCTCCAGGCTATACAAAGCGGAGGGTTTAGCCTGCCTGCTTTGTTACAACACCTTCCTGGTGGAAACAACCTTGGTAAGAATACAGCTGAAACACATCAAAACTTTATAGTCACTTGAGAGAAGATCATTTAGCTAGGGAACACAGGAATTATAAGTAACCTAAGAGACGAGTTCCAGGCAATTTAACAATCACTGTCGTTATATGGCTTGTAAGTCATTGGTTAAAACTTCAATATATATTTAAAAAGCACTTTTGCTCAGAGACTGGATTTTACTTATTGCTTAAAGTCTGTTTTGTTTTCATAAGCTATTTTTAAGTGTTTTAATTGTTTCATAAATAATGTAAATAAATTAAGTTTGTTATTTGGATTTGTAAAGAACACAGGCTCATTTTGGTGTTGAATTAAATCCTATATATTGTCATTTGTGAATTTCATTTCGTATGTGATATCACAATAATGTGAATCGCGTACAGTGACGACGTCATCACTCACTACTCTCATGACTTCTAAGAGCTGAGGTTATGTTTTTGTTAATTGATTCGTCAACTTACTGCCAATTATAATCTAGTGTCCGGTAAAAGTTCATTACAGTACAGTAAGCACGTTATAAAACCACATTTGATTGAGCAGGCACCAAACGCTGTTTTCCGGACTAATTTCATGCATCCGGAAAGTCTATTAAAACAGTGTAGTGTGGCAAAAAGTAATTTATGTCAATACATAATATTCTCTAACTGCTACTTCTACACAGAAAAAAGTTATTTTATGGTTTCACAAATACCTGTGTATTTGTAAAACCATCTACTGTGCAGTAGGTAGCCTAGACTTAGTTTACGGAGCACTACCTACTAAACTGAGATGGATGATTAAAAACTGGAACTCTGTTAACTTTCATCATTGGAATGATTCTTGTTAAAGAACTGATGACAGTCTAGAGCTATCTTCCATTCTACACTCATTCTCTTCATTCAATACGGACAAAGGATTGTCAAGAATGAATATAAATACAGAACTTAATCTAATTTCGTATTCGTTTTAAGTGTACAATAGAATGAACTTGAGACTGTGTTATGTAGCACACAGCTGCTTTATGGTTTGCGTCCCTGGGGTGGTTCACATTTAGCTCAGAAAGCATTTGTTTGGCAAAAGAAAGCTCTTAGAGCCATGCTAGGATTGCAAGATCATGAATCCTGTAGGGATCACTTTTCCAATTTAAATTTGCTTACACTGCCATCTATGTACATTCTTTGTAATTTAATTCATATAAAAAACAACCCCTTAAAATTTTCTAGCTATTCTCATCCATACAACACGAGGCACAAAAACAACCTAGTCACACCTCAAATCAGACTTTCAAAAACTTTAAATAGCCATTTTTACATCCAACATATTTTCTTCAACAAGCTACACTCTTGTTTTTGTGAACTACCTTTAAACCAATTTAAAAGAAAAATTACTGAGTTTTTAAAATCAAAAGCATTCTACACACAGGAAGAATTTTTAAATAGTAACATATCATGTTTAGATTCTAAATAGGGTATTGTATATATTGAAATTTATAAAATTGATGTATGATCTATTTTTAAGTACTATTGTAACAATGCCTATTACAAAATGTTATGTTTAATGGCTGCAATAAATCTTATTGAATCTATTATTGAAACCTAAATGAACAAATTGACTTGTTGAGAGAAACTCAATCCGCAGATGAACGACAATTTCTTTAGGCAACATTATATAATGATGAAAACCCGAAACTGAGCAAGTTCCCTTTACTAGAAGTCTGCAGTTCTGAACAGGTCAAGCCAACAGTTGGTTTGGGTTTGGGCCAAACATAGTCTTAAGCTCAGGTTGTGTCATTTATGTTGGAGGTAATTGTTCACACCTTTTTCCGCGACTACACCAAAAATGTTTAAAACATCGCAGTGACTGGGAAAGACATTATTGATTTCACCATGACAGCGGGAGGGTTCACAATTTAACCGCTATTGCAGAGATTATTTACAATATTGTGTAAACCGATTGTAAATTTACAATATTATGTAAACCGATTGTAGTAATACAAGGGGAGAGGGTACCTTTTCCTGCACAATTGTTTTCAAAGGGGATTCCCTTTAAGTCCAGGTACATATAGCAGGAAATCCACTGAACCTACCATACTGATATTTTGTACACCTATTAACCACATTGATATCTTTAAGCTAAACCACCTTTTTAAGAAAAACATGGACAAAAGCAATATTTTCAACCATTTCAAAAATATAAATGTTTATGTCATTTAAAAAAAATAATAAAAAATAATCTTTCATATAAAAATATTACTAATTGATAGAGCTTTGGTTTAATGTACATACTCGCCAAATATCAAAAATTATGCATGCAAAGTTTTAAGTCTCTATGTATTATGCCAGTACGTAGTGTGTTAAGAAATTTTAAAGCCTATTTTGATTCAATTTGAATTTCCCGCCCTTAGCGCCACCTGCGGTGGCCGAGGTCAGCAATGCTTATCTGTCCGTTGGGTTTAAAATCATATCATGTACTAGTAGGGGTGCTGGCTACAGGTTTGCAAGGCTCCTGTGATAATGTAAGTGTTACATTTATTTAGTTTAAGGATTATTATATTCATGTGTTAAACGCTTTTTCAGGTGCTATAATTTAATTGAAAAACATAATTAACCAATTTGTACAAGTCTTTATTTACTGTTAAATTTCGTTTGCCACGTGTGGTCAGTTAGCCTGTTTGAGTTTGTAATTTCTTGTAACTTGAATAGTAAAACATCAGAAGTGTTTTGAAAGCTATATAAATTTAATAATGAGAACTATATAATTTTAATATTAGGTTCTGGTCAAATGTAATTTTTATTCAATTTAAAGTAACTTAACTCAATGAATGTTTTTTTGTATTGAACACTTTATAAGCAATCCAAATCAATGTTTTATACCTTTTAAGTTATACTTTTTCCAACAGGTCTCTTGTAATTTTATTTTATTTTAATTTAAGCTTGTGTAATGATTTTGCAGACGGGAGTCAAATTTGTACAGCTAAATCTAAACATGGCCCAGCCCACCCCTGCTGTATTCAGTAATGTACCAGTCTATCTATTATTTATTGGGTACTAATAACAGTTACTTATAGCGTATGTGAAAAGGGTTATTTTATTTAAAAAGTAATAAATTGCTGAACCGTAATTCACTGAGTCATTCTTATTTGACTCCCCTCGTTCACTGGTCAACTTGGCGACCCTCTTGGCTCTGATCCGCAAGCTAAAGGAAGTGGATCTAAATTCACACCATATAATTATATTCAATTGGCCACCCTGGAATATAATTAATTTGCGCCACTCTGCTAAACTTCCTGAGCTTTAAGATAACCAAGACATTGAACGAGGTCATTTAGGCTACTCCGAGAATTTCATTTGAACTGTTATGAACACTCAAAATCCAGTGTGGTGTTGTGTGATTATTAATTTAAGAAGTTATTATGTTGAACTGTAATTAGTATATTTATCAAGGGATGATAAAGGACATGTCGGTATAAGTATATTGTAATAAGAATTTTAGGGCATTGTATCATTAAAAACTGAAACCGGTTTTATTAAATAAGCTGATTTTAAATAGTTGAAGTAAACAACGGTGAAATCAAACAGCTAGGTGCTAAACAAAATGGTTTAAATTAGCTTAAAGAATTCTAAATGTGTTGATCCGAATTTTGAAAGTAATAAGTAGGGTTCGCTAAATCCTTCCTTTCCTCACCTTATCAGCAATTATCCTTTTATCAAGATGGCGAACTACAATGTCAATTATCTTCTAAAGGGCGAGTTGATTTATGAAATTATGTGTAGAGACCAAGACTGTCAACAGGAGGACTTAAATAAATTAAGTGTAGATGAACTCAGAAAATCCTTGCGTAAAATCATTGGGCAGGCACCTAATTTTTCAAACATTGAAAATAAATTGACTGTTTTGGTGGAGATTAAATATTGCCAAATAGCGTCAAGCGTATTGCAAGTGCTAATCGATCGACAGTCTGAAGAGCCTACGGCGCTGAATTTAGCTAAGATTAATGCAAAGCTAGCACATTTAGAGCTAAGAATAAACATGCTAAAACGAAGTATACTGTTAGAAACCGACAATACAACCGTGGAAGAGTTAGACAAAACGAGGATTAGTCTTAGTAATAAACTGTCAGAAATCGAGAATAAAATCGCCCCGGACGAATACCAACGATTTCAAGAAGAATTAAATAAATCGTTAATCGAGAGTGAGTCAGCCGATGAGGAAATAAACGGCGTATCAACCGGGCAGCCTATCACCTCTTCACCTAGTAATCAGCTGAGATTAGGGAACCACAACAGGACAAGGTCCGCCCCTACAGAATCAATCAATCAATCAATCAATAGGGAACCACGACACGGCACACGTCCCGCTTCAAGGTCACAGTACGCCCGCGGACCATGTTCGTCCTGCTTCTGCACCGCTGCCACCGGTCGACTTGTTCCAGAAACTAGCAAACCCATTGGAAAAAATTTTGTCGAAATTTCCGGAGAATTGTACTGGTATGGAGATAACCCCGTTACTAAACTTTTTGAGACAGACAGTAATTTTACAACAGGAATCGCGCCTACCCGAAGATCAGATATTTAGAATAATTAGCAGGTACGCTATTTCTCCGCTCATTGGAACAATAATAGAATGCCAAAACGGCGGGAAAAGTATCATACAAACACGCAGGGAAATATTAAATTCATTTATTCCAGCAGCTTTGGGAGAGCAACTTAAATATGAGTACATTCATCGTCCCCAACGCTACGATGAGAGTTTATCGCTGTATTGCGAGGAAATTAAATTAAATAACCAAGTATTTATGGCAAACCTAACAGAGAAACAATTGCTTGATTCTATTAGAAATGGATTGAACCCGGACACCCGCAACAAGATCGCTGTATATAAATTCCCCGAAACAATGAATGAGTTGAAACTTATTGTGGTGCAAATGAACAATTTGGACTATAATGATTATTTGCGCAACAGAGCGTGTGCCAACGTAGTCCCTACGAGACCGGTATTAACCGCAGCCATGCCA